ACCCTCTTTCCTCTAGCCCCCTATTCCCCCATCAGCCAACTCCCAGCCTGCACCCCTACAACAAACCCCTGTAGCCCTGCATTCTATGGTGGTTGACTGGCTAGAGTGCAAGGCTAAAGGTACCCCCACCTGACAGCAGAATACACTCTTCCCTCTCTCTATTTAACTCTGGTCAATCACCTCCTAGACTCATACAGGAGGGTCTCTATAGCCTGCTCTAGATAGGGGAAGAGAGCTACGCTGTCCTTTAGCCCCTGGACTCTATGGTCAACAAGATCCCAGCCAGCACTGGGTCTATCTAGCCCCAACACTTTATGTTAACTACTTGACTACAGAATACGAGACTAGAGAGACCCCATATTGGGGGGTGGCTACACCCTTTCCTCAAGCCCCAGACTCTATGGTCAGCCAGCTTCCAGCTCAAGATCACTCTCAGCCTGCACCCAACTATAGAGTATGGCATCAGAAGAACCCCAGATGGATATGCTCTTTCCTCCAGCTTTGCTCTCTATGGTCAGGCAGCCCCACACTCCAGAAGTTGGACAACAAAGGGCTGCTTGTTAGCAAGGGGGCAGGGCTGGGGGACCATCACTTGCTCCTACCCATGTCCCACCCCAAGGACACCCCCCTGGACTTGCTACCCCCTCACCTCAATGATGCCATCTGGGTCCATTCCCTCAGGGCCATTGTCTCTGGATCTGGGGGGGGGGGGGGGGGGGGGGGGGGGGAAGGGGAGGAAGAGGAAGGGGAGAGAGAAAGGAGACACTGAGAACCACAGCCCCCAAATACCACCCCCAGCTCCCCACCACCCAGAGCCTCACAACTCACCTCCCCATAAACACCCTTCAATCCCTGCTCCCTAGCCCCCTCATTCTTATCCTAGTCCTAGGACAACCCTTCCCCACAGCTCCCTTGGCCCCATCCTTTGCAACATCCCACATATGCCCTCATTCTGAACCCCCGCCTTCTCTCCCTCCACCTCGCTTTCAGGCTGGGGGCTCAACTCCCACCCCCTTGGTCAGTCTTAGCCATGGGATGCCCCACTCCTAGCTCCTGTTGCAAGGGAATGGGGGATGCAAGCAACCTTCAGCTGCCCCCCAACTTCTCTTGTAGTATCTCAGTGCCCCCACCTTTTGCACAAAGTTTAGGGGGCCTCATACTCCACCCCCCCCCCAATTAGTCTAGGGACCATATTCCCACCCACTACCCACTCTTAGTCCCCACAAAGCTACACAACCCTCCCCGTGGTAGGCCCCCCCACCAAAATATCAATACCCCCCAGGGTAGGAACCTGCCCTCCCCCCACCAGGAAAACTGTATCTGGACCCTACTACCCACTTTTAACCACCTCCCCATACCTTGTAGTGTTATGCCAGACCATGACAACCCAGAAGTGGCTACATCTTGACACTAAATGCCCCCCACAAAAACCTTCCCCTGCCAGAGCCTCTCCCCAACCCCAACAACTACTGAGTTCTAGAAAGACTGGAAATGATTTCCTCTGACCCGGAAATGAACCCTAGCCCTTTCTTCACACACCGGAAGGGCCTCCCAGCGCCTGGGCCTAGCCAGGCCTGCCTCTCCACGTGTTCAGGCCTGGGCCCCCTCCCGGAAGTCCCGCCCACGCCGCTCCCGTATTGGCTGGAGGGGAGGGGAGGGAAGGGCCGGGCCGCGGTGACGTCAGCGCGCTGCACGCCAGGACAATGGGGCGCGCGGCTGGGGCGGGGGAATGGTCTCGCCCAACGGCAATCAGGACGCGACCATTTCACACCCCCGCGGGGGGAATGGTATCGTTCAATAAAAGTGGGGAATAGATCAAACCAAGCCTGAGGGAATTGTGTCACCCCCGGGAGATAAAGTGGTTCCGCCCGCTTCTTCCTGCGCAATAGTCTTTTTCGCTCAAGAACCCCCTTCGCCTCCATAGGGGGCTCGATGGTTCCGCCCGATGGGGAAGTCGTTCCGCCCACCTGCCGCTCCCGGCGGGGGGAGAGAGAAGAACTAAATGGTCTAAACCCATCCGCCCCGGGAAACGAAAATCAAAAGCAAAAAAAATAATTATTTGAAGAGATCGCCCACCGGACCAAGCCTCGCCCTCCTCTTCGGGCCGAATGGGCTCGCCCACACCGCCCCGGCATGGTTCCGCCCATGATGGGGGTGCCTAATCATCCGCAGTGCTACAGCCCGGGTGTGAATGCGGTATCTCCCCTTATTGGGACAATATGGGCTTGCCCATAACACGGGGGTAGATGATTTGATAGACCTAAGCCGAGTATTATAACCTCTTTATTAGAGAAAGTGAGATCGCCCATTTAATTTGGGGGCAATGGAATACCCGCCTCCCCGATTGGAAAAAAAATAGGCTCATCCGCAATAAGAAGAGGGGGATGGTTTACGCCCCAGAATCGAGATTCTCTCTCCATTAGAAAAAAGTGGGCTTTTCCATAACATGGGGAGAAAAATAGTACGGCCCAGGTGGGGGAATATATTCCCCCACCTTCACTGAGAATAGGCTCCCCCACCCTGCGATTCGAGCAATGGAATTCTCGCCAGAAGTGGGGGGGGG